CCTAATGCCGCTAAGTTGATGGCAGATGCAACAACCTGGAGGGAGAAGAATGCAGGAGGCTGCAACAAGCTTTTAACTTACCAGAGCACATTTTTTTGCAGAACTTCTCTGGCTATCGAAATGCAAAATTAGTTTGAACCTTGGAGATGCAACTGCAGAGTCAGGCTACGCGAACTGGAACCTGATTTATGTTGTCTTAAGATGGGAAAGAATGAATCTCAAAATTTCTAGCGTGGTCCTCGAAACGTCAAGACGGTCTGAACTTGGCCTTGGGTCATGGGTCAGCCAGCAATGAATTTGCTAAGGATTTTTTATTTGCTAAAGGTCACAAAAGAATTAGTTTCGCAAAATTTTCAGCCTACCGTCGAATTTAGGCTTGGGGCCACGACAGTCTGGGGCCCAGAAGCAGGCATGAGTTGATTCCGGATTTTATTGCCTCTCATAAGAATACGAGCGTTAAGTTCTTAAAATTTCAGCTTCTTAATCCCCACAGTTCAGAAGGCTAAATGTTCAGAACACCTGCGCGCATGCACACACACACACACACACACATGCGTATACATATACACACATACATATATGTATACACATGCACACACACACACACACACACACATACACACGCATGTAGAAGCACGTTATTTTAATGTGCTTTATTCGCATCAGCAATGCAAAAAAATGCATGGTGAACTGCATACATCTTGTGTTATTTATCTAAATTAAGAAGCAGATACTTCAAAACTTACTTGGATATGCTTGTTGCTGTGCACATATCTGTTGTTGCGGATAATAACCCACCGCATCGCCAGCAACATATTTCGCTGAATATGGGCCATATTGCTGCGGTGTAGGATAGCTCATTACTGGCTGCTGCTGCTGCGCGAACCTCGGGAAGATACTGGGCGACTGCTCGCAGCTTTCGAAAATGTTGTAATTTCCGCCAAACCGTGTGTGCTCATTGCCAGCATAAAACCCCGTATTATCCTGCAAAAATTATGGCGGAGGACATATAGGGATACGCAGCGTAAGCCTCCGAAACTTGACGTTTCATGTCAGTTTTCTTTACTATTTTAAATATGCCATCAGCAGAATGTCGTCATCTTCGCCCAACGTTTCTTTCTCAGACAAAATTTAAACTGGGCTAAATAATGCTCTGAATATCAGTGGTGTCGTGAATGGAGCTCTTTTTCGAAAACTGTTCTGGATCGGGAAGGAATCGAACCACTCCCCTTTACGTCCGGATGCAACATGTTACCACTAGACCACCGGCCTCTAAGCTTCACACCAGTTTGCCTATTTGCATACACATACTTCATTTGCCGGCTTTTCGCCAGACTTCCGCAACAAGTAATAAACAGCCAAACAATTTACGCTTCGCGAATGAAATAGCCCTCATTGTGAGCAACGTCCGCAAAATGAATGAGGTGCTGCAGAAGTTTAACGTAGAAAGCGCATCAAAAACCCCGACAGTGAAGTACCATTACTACTTCTTCGGCAACATTGCATATAAGCGCTGCTGGTTTGAAAGATAACAATTACGTTTCTCCAAGTTAGAAATTAAGTATGAGCCAGAATCTACACGAGATTTCTTGAAATCCAGACTTCATGCGTTTTTGTGCTAAACTTGCAGCAGGACACATGGACAAATGTTGGCTGTATTTTTTGGCGCTTTCTCCTATGCAGAGGGAAACGGTGTTAGTTGGAATGATAGTGTTGCATTACAGAGTTGCGTGAACTTCCAGCGAGCACGATTAGGACCGTTATGAGCAGTGATTTCAGGTTTTATATCAAAAAAACGCTCGCAAAATTTCAGCCTTCCAGCTTTCTGTTGCTGTTTATGGAACTGGCTGACAAAGTACACTCGCTCAAATACAAATTTATTTCGAGCCTCTCGACAATGTGTGTTTTTGCTCACTGTAGCAGCGCTACAGCACTGTGATCGGTATGATTGGGCGCCAAGTGATTCTATCACTGATCAAAGCAAATATGCAACTAATCTACCAGCTGTAGCGAAATTATTGCGATAGAAAAGACAGACTGGGCAGATAAGGATTTTTTTCAAGTAAAATAACAAACCATCTGTGAAAAGTTAGCATTGTTTGCAGGCAGACTGCACGCCCTGAAGAGATTCAACTGACGCTCGGCTTCCGAAAGACGATATTGGTACTGCCCGATGGAATACTGCTGCTGCTGTTGCGGCTGCGGTTGCAGTTGCTGTGGTCGCGGCTGCAATTGCTGCTGCTGCTGCGGCTGCGGTTGCAGTTGCTGTTGCTGCTGCTGTTGTTGCTGCAGCATCGGTTGATCGGGCATCGATGGTCCTGCCATCATCCCACTGTACATATTACCGTTGCCGCAGCCTTCCATACTTCCCGGAGCTGCTGTATTCAAAGGGACACTAGTATTTGTGCTGCTGCTAGTATTACTGCCTGTGCTGGCACATTGCACAGGATTCTGTTGTGTCGCCGACTGCCCAGCTAATGCAGATGAGCTCGCTGCAACTTGTTGCTGCTGCTGATCGCCTGAAAAATGAACAGTAATTTTAATTTTATAAAAATGCTGCGGGGAGAAACGCTGAACCAACGATTCTTCCCAAAGATGCATTGGACAACAGTATCGCCAGTAGGTCGATCATCAGACAAAGGAGCAATGGACAAATCACTGGCGGACCCGTGCGATCACGCGTTTTTGCAGTATTTCGTGTTGTTGCAAAAAACCGCTTGCAGTCCCAGTAGCTAGAATTTATGACATACTGGTCCTCGAAGTTCAGAAAATGAACTGTGCAACTACATGATACTTGGTCGGGGGATATCCACTTAAAATTTCAGTCTCCCAGCTCTACTGGTTCCCGACTTAGCGATTTTCCCATCTAAAACTTTCATGGGCCATGCGTGAAAACCCCACACACCAGGGGAGCTGAATTCGCAATCTTTAAGTTATGTACGTGGGCCGGGAATATCTCTTTAAAATTTCTACCTCCCAGCTTCCTGAGTTAGCAATCCCTTCACCAAAACTTTCCTTTCACACGCTAGTATGCAGGGCCTAGAGGCGAGTGAGGGCTGGTACCGCGATTCTAGGGTGGCAACTGGCCGAGGAACTCAGTGGCAAAATCTTGGCGCCGAAGCTTGCTTGGTTGCCGAGTTGAAATACCAGGACAGACGCGAGCACAAACACACATACATACACACACATACACACGCACATACATACACGAACATACATGCACACATACCCACCGAGTCGCCGCAATATGCGTTTTTGCAATTTGTATATAAACAAAAACGCATAAAAACTGGAAAATCTGCCAAATGCTAGCTGAAAATTACAGCTGATCGAATACGGCATTAAAATTAGCTTGAACCTGCGTGCCTTCCACATGCAAATTTCCTGCTTATAAGAGGGATTGCGATAAGCCTAGTCATCTTACCTTCACCCATAACTTACAGCTCAAATCCTGGTCAGGGCAAACCATAAAGTTAACATGCCCTACTGGCTCTTGCATTACCCAATGCAAATACCGGCTAGCTTAAATGAGATTGTAAAATTTGGCTTCTTCGCAGAATATCAAATAAACATAGTCGACTATTCCATTCCTCTTTCTCTTGTCGCTGCACCTTGCCAGCAGCAATGCTACACTTTCCGATACTTTTTATGCTTTCAACTTACATGGCGTAGCAACATTTTGCAGTGGCGTTACAGCGGCACTGTTCGAGTCGTACACTGAATTATTCGCTGAACATCGAGCCGAAGCAGGCTGATGCACTGACGACGCGCTACTGTTTGAGGTACAACAATTCATTGACATCGGCGATACTATCTGAAAACGGAAATTACAAAATCACGGCCGTAAACACGTAACATTTCGCGGAAATTCTTGTTTTTGTCCAAGAAAACTGGAAATTCTCAAAAAAAAAGTACTGGGGTGCCAAAAAATAATGATTCAGAGACCCTCCTAAAAGTAAATTTTAAAACTCAAGAAAATATCTTGGCAAAATTTAGACAGATCTTTTAACAATCTTTTCAAAACATTAAGAAGAAACCTCGAAAAACCTCCGAAAATCTTTCCAAAACATAAAGAACTTCAAAAAATTCTAGATATTCTAGCGAAACCGCAACTTTGCTCCAGTACAATAAGAAAGCAATGGCACATGAAAGGGTGAAAAAGCGGCGAAACATACCGAATTGCAGGTAGACTGCACACTGTTTTGTGCACCGTTCGCCTCAGCAATTTTCGTGGTTGGTTGCTTTTCAGGACCAGTGTCCAGCAGTTCTTCCAAACAGTCCCCTCCGAGATCATCCAATGGTTTGCCCTTCAAAAACAACTAAAGTATAGCAAGGAAATTACGTGTGTTAAGAAATTGTCAACGAAATTTTGAAATATGCAAATACGACCTCTTTATTCACTGCCTTGACTCGCTGGGAGTTCAGGTTTAGTTCATTACTATGTCTAAATTTGATGGTTAAAAGCCCCTAAACCACACAGCAGTTCTGAGAAAAAAATAAAAATACCGGTCCGAGCTCATCCATGAGATCCTTCACATGTGATTCTGTTAACTCGGGC